TTATTTACAAGTTTGAAAAAAAAACATTGCATCAAAAGCAAAATAAACAACAAATGACCAAATGTTCAAGTGACATTTAGCTTGTTTAGCCTTAACATACATTAAACTTGTGCATAACATATGTAAATTTGTTCAATGTTGAATAAACAATAAATAATTTGTGGCAATTTGAAATCTACAAGACTTGTACAGAAAAATAAGCAGAGAATAAGGTTTTTGCAAACATTTTATAGTGATGAAACGATGTTCTGAATTGTCTTATGCTTTCATAGCACTTCTTTTAATAAATAATTTTTAAGTTTCAGACCAGTTACACGTTAGTTACACATAATGTAAGAAGTGTTACAAGATGCAAGAACATGACCATTTGACTAACACACGAAAATTATCTTTTGACTCAGGAAGGAACATTAACATTAACTCAAGGAGGAACATTAAGCTTTGACACACGCAGGAACTTTCACATTTGACACACGCAGGAACATTAACATTTGACACACGCAGGAACTGTAACATTTGACACACGCAGGAACATGCACATTTGACACAAGCAGGCACATTAACATCTGACACAAGCAGGAACATTAACATTTGACACAAGCAGGAACATTAACATTTGACACAAGCAGGAACATTAACATTTGACACAAGCAGGAACATTCACATTTGACACAAGCAGGAACATTAACATTTGACTCAAGCAGGAACATTAATATTTGACGCACGCTTGGTTATAGCACACTGCTACACGCCGTAACAGAAACACTTACCTTTGACAGAATGACACGCGTCCGTTAACCCGTAGCCTGGTGTCCACTAACACTTTAGCATAGTGTACATTCACCCATTCCCATGCTTTCTGATGACCCTTATGCTAAGCGCTATATTACTTTTATGTCATGGCGAGGAACAACTGCTGAGACAATGGTTGGGTCTCGTTACAGAATATGATTTGAAATAACAGTATTTGTAAAACAAATAGCTAGTAAAATAAACATGAAATAACAAGGGGAAAATATCACAGATTTTGTATAAAACAAACAAAATCTATAAAAAAGATAGTGCTAATAATAATTAATATTGTATTTATGCAATTGATTCTTGTAAAAAGTTGCAAACTTCAGTATATAAAAATAAAGCTCTTCAAACGGGACAGTAGTCTCTACCAATAATGTCCATAGAATTCCGAAGGTCCCAATTTAAGTCGAAAATCTTTTTCATATACCTTACAAGAAGGGAAGATTGTAATGCCAAAAGGGCTCTACAGAATCCATCCAATATTTATTTGTAACTGTCTAGTATTTTGAGTATGATGCCGGAAAGATAACAACATTACGTCAATGACTTGAACTTAAAAGAGTTAAATAGAGGGGGAGGCTGTCTATACAAGCTATGTAAAATCTTTCATGAAAAACAGTGCTACATGTCTTGACCTGGCATCGTGGATCAGGTGAGTGGAGCCATTTTGAACACTGTCACTTGGAGACAGGGGGTCTCAAACTCGCAGCCCCCCGGGCTTATTAAGATAAGATACGATTCTGTTATTGATCCAAAAAAAAAAAAATGGAAATGTTTTATGATTGCATTGTACATTTTCAGCACATATATAAAAAAAAATTGAAACAAGACATTTGTAATAATTTTTTGTTCATTAGCAGCCATTCCGAGAGTTCTCTTAGCCACATCTGGGACTTGTTAGTTCTCATTAAGATGTGTGACTTCAGGGGCAGCAAGTATGTGCAAGTAAATACGATGATATTAAGGGGGAGTCTGAAATAAAATTTTGATAATGTTTAAATGAAATATTGGTCATTTTCTAATCCTGCCTGTACTATAAGCTCATGGCTACAATATTCAAAAAACACCTTTGTACTTGGTACAAAAACAAACATTAAACATATTTCTTTTCGTATCTATAAATGGCATGAGTTAGGAAGATAAAAGATAACAATTTCAATGACTTTATTGTAAGGGGGTAGCGTATATTCAGTCCTTGCTTTGTAAAAAGCATATTGATCAGTTTGTAGTATTATCACGATTTAAGCAGTGCGACGTATCTGCAAGTGAATACGGTGATATTAGGGGGGAGTCTGAAATAGAGCTTTGTATGAATTCATCTCAAAACTTAAATTTTGAATAGTTTAGTTATATCAAATTCTTTTATATATGACGGTCTATTGGATTGTGTACTTTAATATTGTTAGGTTAAATTTTTAAGACGATTTGCTCTTAACCAAGTGTTTAAGACTTATATTTGAGAATCCCTATTGATTTTTTTGGGGGGTTTAGTATAAATGTTGTTCTGTCGTTGCAACTCAGTCCACAGATAGAACTGCAGAGACACAATCTGTTGAAATGACTTCCTCCTACGAGTTCTCTCTGGCCGTCGTCCTCCCAGTGCTACATGTCTTGGCCTGGCATCGTGGATCAGGTGAGTGGAGCCATTTTGAACACTGTCACTTGGAGACAAGGAGTCTCAAACTCGCACCCCGCCGGGTTATTTGATGTCCGCAAACAATAATTTGCGGCCCAATACCTGATAGCAAAATTTAGTGTTAATGCGGCCCACACGTTTTTGCCCATTCTCATATCTATAATGTGACCCTCTGCAAAGTTTTCAGTTGAATCTCACCGACTAGTTTCATTTGGCTTTTTGTTATGTTCGCAAATGTTGATTAAAATGGAAAACCCGTTTTAAAATTTGACTGAAAGTTTTATTTTAAAACATTTTTTTAAACCAAAAACATGGCTAAACCGATTTAGAGAAACAAGCTTAGAATATTGTACATCCATATATATATATATATGAAAAATTTATAAAACTAAGCTAGTGGGTAAGGCACAAATCTAACTCTGTAAATAGTAGCAATATGGCACAGTATCAAAGAATCTCTATTAAAATTGGCGCTAATATGGATGAGTCAGGGAAATTCCGAGTCTGTCCACTTGGTGACTTTCAACAGAAGGTAAAGCAAAAAGCCCTTTTTGTACCATAAAAAGTCAAAATTCAATCTTTTTTCAATAAAATCTTACTTCGCATCAATAATTCATAAATATTTTCTTCTCCTGCTTTATGTTTGAACACGTTTCGGTTTTAAAATCGCACTATTTTTACTTTATCCTTTTCCGTCTTTGTTCATCAGATGCTCATTACTTTCATTGCGTTTATTAGCGGGACATTTTTACTTTATATTACGGGGAATTCAATTTTTTTCTAAGGATATAATGCCGTCAACAATGATATGCAATGTGACTGCTGGGTCTACTTGTTGAGTTAAGGGGTGACGCAATGTGACTGCTGGGTCTACTTGCGGAGTTTAGGTGGTAACGCTACGCTCAAAATCCCAGTTTTAATGTCTTGTTTGCTATGTTTTGTTATAATTTTTAAAAGTTTTTTAGCTAAAAGTAATGAAGATTTATGGGATGTAAATAAAAATGTAGAAAAATGTTCGTTGATTCAATAACAGCAAAGGTTCATTGTTACCAAAGGTCTTTCTTTTTTTCAGCGCTCGCGCAAAACGAGTTTGTCGACTGAAACCATCATGGAGATTTACGGTTTTCATTATTACTTTTAAATTATCGAGCAATATTATAGTAATAAATTACGTCATTGACTACTGAAGCCTCATTTATTATGTTGTTTCTAAATCTTCCTGAGAGGAAAGTCTCGTGATAATGACGAATGAGAGCACAGACGTTAATGACACTGCACAGCTAGCAATATAGGCGAGTGGTGTTGATGATAATTTAGAAGTGACGGAAGAGTTGCTCAAATTGATTCCAATGCATGGCCAAACCACCACTCAGGAGATATACCGCAAACTGTGTGATGCCATTGTGGATGCCGGTTTACAGTGGAACAATTTTCCAGAAATAACAACCGGCGGAGCGTCATCAATGACAGAGAATATAAATGGACTCGTGGCACATGTTTAAAAAAAACTGGAAGTGGAAGGTGTGGAAGAAGCTCTTGCTCTACACTGCATTATCCATCAAAAGGCCCTTTGCAGCAAATGCTCAAAGTTTGGCAATGTGATGTCTGGCGTGATAAACATCACCAATATCAGATCCAGGGGGTTGAAGCACAGGCATTTCAACTCATTATTTTAGAGGAAAAAGAGTAAGCAGATGAGAATGTTATCTACATCACCGATGTACGTTGTCTTAAAGGAAACGTCTTGAAAATGTTTTTGAGTTGAGAGCAGAAATCAAAGAATTCATGGAGCAGAATGGTGTTGTTGTTCCCGGAATAAGTTATCCCAAAAGGCTTTGTTTGTTGAAATTACACAGTAGCTGAATGTACTCATTAAGAAGTTACAAGGCCAGTGGCAGCTTGTCAGTGTTGCCAATGACAATGTCAAGGCATTCTGCAAAAAACTTTTGTTATGGAAAGCTTAGCTCTCCCAAAATGCAACTTAATCATGGACTCTGGCACTCAGTAGTAAGTATGCTGATGCCATTGCAAAGTTACAGAAAAAATTTGATGACAGGTTTGCAGACTTCAAAATACACTGAGCCAAATTTCATTTTTTTTCTTTTCCCATTTCTCCTTCAATGTGGAAGATGCCACCCTCAACGACTTTCCGCTTAAAATGGAGCTGATTGATCTACAGTGGTGAATTTCTGAAATTGAGGCTAATTTCAGGAAGGTGGATATTAAAATAGACAAGCTTGGACAGTGTAGGAGAGCATTGCCCTCCACCTTCTTTGAGATTTCAAGTTTGTTCAAGCGGATCATGTTTCTTTTTGGGAATACCTATAGTTGTAGAAAGTTGATGCGGCACAGTCTCACTCAGACTCTGCCTCCTGCGGCCCCTGGATAGTTTGAGTTTGAGACGCCTGTTGTAGACAAATGAAATACTTATTTATTCCATTAAATTATATTATTTTAGGAAAAGATAAAACACCTTATTGCATACTGGCAGCCTTAAATCGTTCTCTTGCTAATAGTTTCAGCACACCCATGGAATGGACTCCAATCAACATTTGGAAGAAACCTCAGTGATCCAAAACATTTTATCTCCTTACCACGAACTGCTGAAGCAGCTAGACTAGCCGGGTAAGTGCTGGGTGGACTAACGGATTTCTGCTGAATAGAAAGGTATTGTTCATGCTCTAAATAATAGTTCCAGAATTTGTTCGTGAACGTAAAGTGATATAACGATTGCTGTTAGCTTTTTCCCCTCCAACCAATCTCTCCAAAAAAATAGAGAAAAAAGTAATACAAATTAGAAGGATCAAATTCTTACCTAAGATTATAAAACATATAAAAACAAATTTCCACGTAAACATAAGAATAACTGCTTACTTTAGCAAAACATGGGCACATTGATTGACAAAGCTTAAGATCCCCTGGACCAAATGGATTTCTGTAAATTGGCTCACATTTTCCGTTGTCTTCCAAATATAAGCAATCATTTCAAATTTTTTCATATAACCTTTCAATTGTCCATTCCTTCAAATATTTTTTTATACAAATACTTTTAGCAGCTGGTGCATCAATATGTGTGCCCTTTATGATCTTTGCTCAGCTTAACCATTTTGTTTAGCTCAACAATCGATATTTTGTTTGTTTTGTATGGTCTATTTGAGCTCCTACATCAGTAATTTCCCGACCGTCTGACATATTACATTCTATTTTGGGGGCGTGCTAACGCCCTTTCATGGCCCCGCTAAAGCCCTTTCATGGCCCTGCTAACGCCCTTTCATGTCCCCGCTAACTCCCTTTCATGGCCCAGCTAACGCCCTTTCATGGCCCCGCTAACGCCCTTTCATAGCCCTGCTAACGCCCTTTCATGGCCCCGCTAATGCCCTTTCATGGCCCTGCTAACGGCCTTTCATGGCCCTTTCATGGCCCTGCTAACGCTCTTTCATTGCCCCGCTAACGCCCTTCATGGCCCCGCAAGCACTTTATAGTGGAGCTGCATCTGCTCATTACTATCGGGCACTCGGCTAGCAAGTGCACCACTGTCTCCGGCGCCTGACCTCAATGACGGCAGCTTGGGTCCATAAGAGGGTGTAATCTTTTCAAGTAGCTTGGAGTAGAATGGTATTATTTTCTTATCTTGGTGAAGAGGCACTGCGTTCTTGTTTTAATTTCCACCATTTATCCCCTTTTTCTGTTTGAGTGTGGTATGTCCCATTACAGTTGACTGGCATTGTCCCCATTCTCCTTCTTTCCACACTCTCCTTAAAAGGTTTTTTTTAACCAAGCTGAATACCTCCAGTTGTGTCATGCAACTGTTTTTTTGTGTGTCTTGGCAGATCATTGCCCTTCTAGAAAGTCAGGCATTTTGTTCTGGTGTAATCTCACGTGTCTTGGTTCTATTGAGGGACGATTCTGCCGTTATGTGAATCTATGTATTGTACTGCGTCTGTTATTTTTTGCAATTTTCTTGTCCAAGGTCCCCTTCTCACAGCCTCTTATGATCCCATTTTCACATTCTTTAATGACCCCTTTCTCACAGTATTTAAAGACTCCCTTCTCACAGCCCCTAATGACCACCTTCTCACAGCCTCTAATATCCCCCCATCTCAAAGCCTCTAATGTCCCCCCCATCTCACAGTCTCTAATGTCCCCTTCACACAGCCTCCAGTGACCCCCTTCCCAGAGCCTCTAGTGACCCCTTCCCAGAGCCTCTAATTACCCCCTCCCAGAGCCTCTAGTGACCCCCTTTCCACAGCCTTTAATCATCTGTAAGTTGGCACATACTACGATGACAGGAAATGTTTCATCTAGCTAATTTGCAGTGCAATTATTTCAGAGCCATCAAGTGCATATTCGATTTCTGCATCTATAATTTGGCTTCTCTTGCTTTTTGAGTACATTAGAAAAATATTTAGCACTTTTCGGCACAGAAACCCTCAGTGTAATTAGGTGTTTATTTTTCTGGTAAATTGTTTCGTTTATCCATGATGGAGAGATTATCTAGCAATTGCTAAGCCTTTATTCAGTACGAAAGGTTTAAGTTTTCCCACACACTAACCCAGTTTAACTTTTTTGCTTGGCAGATTTTGTGTAGCCAACCCTTTATACGCAGCTCGTGCTGCCGATGTTGTCATTTTGGCGTCTTTCCTCCCTGTTTTTACCCTTTTAGCCAACCCTTTATACGCAGCTCGTGCTGCCGATGTTGTCATTTTGGCGTCTTTCCTCCCTGTTTTTACCCTTTTAGCCAACCCTTTATACGCAGCTCGTGTTGCCGATGTTGTCATTTTGGCGTCTTTCCTCCCTGTTTTTACCCTTTTAGCCAACCTTTTATACGCAGCTCGTGCTGCCGATGTTGTCATTTTGGCGTCTTTCCTCCCTGTTTTTACCCTTTTAGCCAACCCTTTATACGCAGCTCGTGCTGCCGATGTTGTCATTTTGGCGTCTTTCCTCCCTGTTTTTACCCTTTTAGCCAACCCTTTATACGCAGCTCGTGCTGCCGATGTTGTCATTTTGGCGTCTTTCCTCCCTGTTTTTACCCTTTTAGCCAACCCTTTATACGCAGCTCGTGCTGCCGATGTTGTCATTTTGGCGTCTTTCCTCCCTGTTTTTACCCTTTTAACCAACCTTTTATACGCATCTCGTGCTACCAATGTTGTCATTTTGGCGTCTTTCCTCCCTGTTTTTACCCTTTTTTCCGCCAATTTCTTCGGAGTTTTTGACCAGTATATTCAGAAGTTTTATCTTCCGTTTGTTCTCGATATTACTCTCCTTGACTCATCGAGAATTTGGCTTATGAAACTTCAAACTCATGTGTATTTTATTTGATGTTTTGACATGGACCGCAGCCAGCGTGACATCGGGCTCTGTTTCGCACTTACGCCAAGTTAGTTTTCCGAATCTGCTCGTGACTTTTCGTGAATCATGCCTCTGGGGTACCTAGCTGTATTATAATTAGGATAGGTTTTCTTAAGACAAACAGGCTGACTTTGGAGAAACGAGGTCCGCTGAAATTAGGATCATATTTTTAAAAGCCCGTTTTCCCCCTATACATTCGGTTATTGATTTCCTTGGCTTAATATATCTGTATGTAACTGTAAATCAATGTTGAATCTTGAGAACCAGAATAGTAAGGAAATCAGTATTATGAGACTTAAATGTCAAGTGGGAGTTAATTTTGTTTCCTCTGGTGAGGAATTTACAATGTTAAATTTTACAGCGGTAAACGAGAAGACCGTTGTCTGAAACGGTTACACTTGAGGAGCGCTTTCTGGAAAAGTGCAACGTGCACGTCCGACTTGTGGAGTAGCTTGGTAATTTCCCTTCCTTTTTTCCTGATTCCACAGACGTTAAGTTTTACTATCGTTAGGTTTAAACTGTGGCATCCTATGGTGGGCGCCACGTCCTGCAGGTCCAGAAGCTTTTTCGTCTCGTACCGATCCAAGACCCGATGTCGGGGCTAGAGGGGATCAGATCAGAAGCCTAGGAGCAGTGACAGCGTTCTTCACTATCCTGCTCCCAGACACCAATGAAAAAGGCAGCAGCTGAGAAGCCATCAACGTATGAGTAAATCAAATCGTACTTGCCACATTTCTACAGAGTGCTTCAAAGTCTGAGTATTTTGTTTTCTTCACTTTGGGATCAGATTTTGTGTCGCCTGATACCCGTGTTGCATTAGTATTTCGATATTTGGTGGGACAACACTTGCTATTTAACTTATGGCCATGCGACCAATGTTTAAATACTCCATTTTTCTAGTCGAGCGCCTTTGATTATTTTTATGGCAAACGTTTTTTCGATGATACTCTGCAACACTGAATGTCAAAGAATGCCAAGGCACACCGAATACTGGTACACCAACACTTTATAAATCACTCTCTTTCATTTGTTCTATCTCACGCCTTATATTCACACATTTTTTAAATTATTCTATTCACGTCCTCCAATAATCATTTAGACGCAATAATAACACTCTTGACACAAGTCGCGATGCCAAAAAGTGTACGTACCATCAAAAGTGCTAATTTTTTTAACGCGACACTTATGTAAGGGTCATTCAACCCTCTAAGTGGTTGCGACCCCGCTGGCCTCAGACAATTGATTACATTTAGGAGCTCAATGTTGTTTACAGGCAACAAAAAAAACCAAAGGACAGGCGACTTACCGGTTTACAAAAAGTAGTGATGGATACATGATGTAGATGCTTTATTGCATCAGATTATTTTGGGCATCGAGTCGAAAGCTGGAGCTCAATCAGAATTGATGGAAATGGTGGAAATTCATACATTGAACCAACTGTCAGTTATGACGATAACTGACGTCTTTAAAAGTGTAAATTAATACATATATTTTGCATGATAAAATACGATATTCAATTGTGGATTTCCCCTTTCGCACACAATTCCTTTCGTCCCTAGTCCCTAGATGCTGTAACCATTCAACAAAAACAATTTTGATAAAAAAGGGGCCATTAGTTTAAAGACAAAAAATACAAATTCTCCTGACCTTTACTTTGATTGCGGTGAATGGAGCTGCTAACACCATTCAACATTTTCAATTATTGCTCACTACCTCTAATCAAGGTCTATGAATGGCAGAACTCGCTTGAAATGATTACATTGTAATCTTTTAAACAATGTTAGGCTTGCTCCGTGTGTATTTACAAAGTATGGGTGCAGGGGAGGGAAGGACGGGAAATATAAATATTATAATTATGTGTTTAAGTTGATCTTTTTTGACCGGTTGAACAGATTCTCTGAAGCATTCAACTGTTCAAGTGAACTTTCGAGAATGTTTCGAGGCATCAGTTATGTTAAAGAATCGGATCAAACTGTCGCTCTCCTGTATGACATCAACGGTTATATTGCTGGCACCCAATCCATTGTTCCGAATATTGTCGATATCCACACAGCCATTAACAGGGCGCCATTCGTCAGCTACCCAGAGGGTCACGCGCTAACAGTATATTTCGTCAATCCAGGTTAGTACAACATAATTAGATGGCTGTCAGAAGGGCTATTGTTTATTTTGAGTTAGGGTTAGCGACAAGATTCAGTCTATGTTAGGGTTAAAGTTAAGTCAATAATTATGTTAAGACTGAATCAGGTTTAGATTTAAAATATGAAATAATATATTTGAATTTTAAAAAATTAATTTTCGTAGAGCAATAAATCTACATATAAAACAGGTTAAAAATAAATGTTGCTATATTTTAAACGTCGTACATTAAGTTCAGAATTTTAATAATCTTAAAGTTATAATGTTACAATTTTTAACATAACTTAGAGCTTAGAAAATGTTTAAAAATAATTCGACATTTTAATTTTTCAACATTCATTTTCGACCATCACTGAGAAATATAAAAAATATTGCTGGAATGTGAATAGATGGAAGCAGAGTTTCTTTCAGTTATTTCTCGGTGGGGTGGGGGGGCATTACCCCCCGGGGAAGGCCAAGTGCCCCCCCCCCGAGCAAAAATATGTCCAACAATAAATCAACTGGCACTGTCCCCGCCCCCCGAAAAATCTGATGTCCCGTCCCCCCACCCCCGGGGAAATTTCTGAAATAATCACTGGATTGAAGGATGAGTTCGGCTGTGTCCATTTAGATTTAAAGTTAATCAAACACTAACTGATGTTAGTGGAAGTTGTTCAATTATATTTTTTTTCCCTTAAATATGTTTTAATTACTTAATAAATCATTACGATCTATTACAATAAAACGTTCATAGTACATTCATCCCATATAACGAGTTGATATGATTGGAATATTTACCCATTCCAGAATTTGTGTTGATATTGCATATTGGTGCCTAAGGGATTTGCATATTCAACGCCAATTTTAATGCTGAGATCGCTATTCGGCAACCATCCAAATAAGTTGCTGCAATTCCAGATGATGCGATTTCCAGTGCAAAGTTTTTTCGTTACCGTAGGGTTGCCAAAACAAGGGAATTAGAAACAGTTTGCATGCTCCCCTTGAAGCATTTAGGAAATACCATCCGCCGATTTGGCTTGTAATTGTGTGCATGATTTCTTTATACAAAATGCGTTGTTCTGAAAACAATTTCGGGAGATTTTTAAATTCTTCTATATCAAAGTGAGTTTCCCATTGCTAATTACGATGGAAAAGGTAGCTTTCAGATCGATTCAGAGCAGTCATTCCCAACTGTAAAGTGCTTTGTTAGCGATTGTCAAGCATATGTTCTTAATCGAAACCAATGTCTCATTATGCGCATTTGGTTTTTAATTTAATGTCCGGATTTTGATCCGTTGCATGCCCAAGATTTAGGATGTCTTCACTCATGTAGGATGTCTTCACTCATTTAGGATGTCTTCACTCATGTAGGATGTCTTCACTCATGTAGGATGTCTTCACTCATGTAGGATGTCTTCACTCATGTAGGATGTCTTCACTCATGTAGGATGTCTTCACTCATGTAGGATGTCTTCACTCATGTAGGATGTCTTCACTCATGTAGGATGTCTTCACTCATGTAGGATGTCTTCACTCATGTAGGATGTCTTCACTCATGTAAGATGTCTTCACTCATGTAGGATGTCTTCACTCATGTAGTCTTTGTATTTTTCTCAAGGATCTTTTGGATTGGATGGGAAGCACTTTTTCGATATTTTTGCAAACAACGAGCGTATTTGCTGTGGCTGATCACAGAGAGCGAAGTGTCCCAAAGTGCATCGTTTTCCAGATGTTTTAATTCTTGGCAAGCTTCAAAATAAGTGGCACATACCTCATCTTTTACTATTCTCAATTCTTGGCAGGATGTTGGTCCACGTACGTTGGGACACTTACAACAGTAATCGCAAGTAAAAGCATTCTGAATTATTTGAGTGAACTGTGTACAGACGGCCTAATGCGTCGGTTGAACATAATTTGGGGAGTTCTTTAATGCTATACCCCGTGTGTGACGTTGAAACCTTTTCGATGATGCATTCCATATGTAATATGTTGGCACTTCAGAGTAAAGTTGCGTCTTTGCAAACATGTCATTCCGACACCATGAGAAAAATGCAGTTAACGTTGTTGGCGGAGGTGACACTGTTCTTACACGAGCATTTTCTGTTGTTAAGTACCCGCGCTGTCACCGTAGAAAAACCTTTAAATTTATTCGTTTACAAACCAGATGGAAATTTAAAAAAGTTGTATACAATAAAAAGCACTTTTTTTAAAAAATGACTAAAATACAAGCACTATCGTTGTTTGAGTGGCACTGCAACGCATGCCGTGTACTCACTAGTATAAATTATCTTGTTTATTTTAGTGTATTGTCTCTTGGCGAAGGAATATTAATCAAACGGTCCTCTTTTTGTCAATGTTATTCTATGGGTCTACTACGTCTAACAAGATATGCCATTTGTGCAACCAGCATTATATTCTTCAAACTTTACACGCATTTCTTCATTCTGATTTTTTGAAAAAGTCTGCTTTTATTACAATTTACCATTCCATCTTCTTTTGTTTTTAAAGTTCTTTTCCATTGGTTTGCAGGAATGGCGATTTACATTGGATAACCCCATGTGTAATTATTTATAGTATTTCCCTTTTCTTTTAATGTTAGAGATTAAACAACTTTTGATGAACAACTACTATAGGAGTCCATTATTATTATATTCATTTATTTACACTTAAGTTACTGCAAGTTATTTTCCTATATGGGATAATCTAAAGTATACATTGTGCGCTCACCATTAGTTTGCATTATAATCTCTAGACTCAAGTATAGAATCTTTCAATGATTCTGTCGCTATGAACTAATCGCATACAAGCAAAACAAGCTGACTTCTGAGTTTTCTTCTCATTGCAGCTTAAACAATTCATTTACTTTCTTGAAAATTATCTCACGTTTAAAGTTGACTGTAATTATAATGCCTAAAATGCTTCCTCTAATTGCAAAATCCCTTTATAAAAATTTTGTATACAACTTCTGGCGTAACAATTATTTTAAAAAATTCGACAGAAAATTCATTGACGCTGTTTCCCTTTAAAGCGTGTGTATCCTTGTTTAGTAATTAATATTGAACCAAGTAGCTTGCCCTTTGACCTTTCTCGGATTTCTTTTTTTTTTTTTCCCTTTTGGAAAACGATGCAGACTTTTAGGACATTCACATTGAAAGCCTACTCAATGATTCTATTTTTAAAGCAAAGGATGGGATCTGGGGGTATGATTGACTGTTTAAAAGAGATTCGTAACATACTTTCATTTGCAAATAAATCTTGACAACTAACAAATAGGAAGAAAGATTTTTTTTATCTGTAAAGAAAATCTCTTAATATATTTTTTTTAAAAAAATCGTTTCTATACTAAAGAGATTTGGAAACTTTTCTTTTACATTTCTTTTCTACTAAAATAAATCTTTTAACAGTTTATGTTTGAGTAGTTTACTCTATTGTTGCTAAATTTTGTTCATCCAAAACTTTATGTTCACAAGTATAAGCATTTAAAAGCATCCAATTTGTGATCTTAGTTTCTTTCCCTGCTCTAAACAATTCACCAACGACATTCAATTTTTTATTTGATGTTTTCAATTCCAGCTATTATCTGTACCACTGGCCGCACGGCGGCTGAATTCAATGAACAAGGAACTGGCACACGTCTATATTTACAGATCAACCCATTCCCAGATGAAAGCGTCATTCTGCCCCTGTTTGAAAATGAAACAACAGACACTCTTTGGTACAATGGAGGCTGTCTGAATGAGATGGGTGAATAACTTTGTTTTTTTTTTAAAGCATATGTTTTTCCTTGACATTTTTTACGAAGCAAGACAGCATAACTTACCTGATGAAATGTGAAAATTAACTCATGCCTGGATCCATTAGACTATTATATCCATTTAGACTTATTGGACTATTATGCCATTTCAAGGGGTCAAAATGCAAAATAGTTCAGATGAAACAATGTGCCCAAGGAAAGGTTTCTTTTTATTTTTAGAAATACAGCACGATCAATGAAAAAAATATTGTTCCATGACCTTAAAGACAGATAAAATATCATGTTTCTAATGACGAGGTGTTCCACAACAGAACGCCAATAACGTGATCGCCAGTGAGCAGTAGCGAAGTCCGTACTGACACAATGTAATCTTCGCGTACAGCTGATCGTACAAATAAGTGCTGACAAACGATGCGATCACAAGACTGGCCTCGGGGTAACAGCTTTAGAAACTGAGTACGTGGTAGCTGACGGTAGAAGTCAATCAACGCTCTGCAACATGTAAACTTGGACAAGAGAATGTCCGAAGCCCGCAGCTCAATCAACATCGGTTGCGCATGGAAAAGGGAGGGGGGCGGTGGGGTGAAAGGCTTCGTCGTAGGCTAATTCAAAAGGGACTGCTTGCCCATAGAATTACTGTACCCCTCCCCCCCAACCACGATTTATTTTCCACCACTTCTGTTGTCCTAGAGATATCTTACTCCTAGTGTCGCTGTCCAGTAAATCCCACCTTGTGTGTGTTTGTGTGGGTCTTTGAGTTTGTGTCTTTTTTTGTGTCCTTGTGTGTGTTAGTGTGGGTCTTTGAGTTTGTGTCTTTTTTGTGTCCTTGTGTGTGTTAGTGTGGGTCTTTGAGTTTGTGTCTTTTTTGTGTGCTTGTGTGTGTTTGTGTGGGTCTTTGAGTTTGTGTCTTTTTTGTTGTTGCGTGGTTGTGTTCTTGTTCGTGTGAGTTTCTGTGTGTTTGCATGTGCGTTTGTTGCGTTTGTGTGTACATATAAGAAGAGACACGATTTCTTTTTCTGATACAAAAAAATGTGAAATGGGTTTTGATGACATTGCACAGAATCACTTTTACAAAAGACAGAACATTAGGATTATGTTAACAGTTACTTTAACAACTAGAACCTTTTAAACTTAAAGACATTTAAAGAATTTCTCAAGCCTAAAAAAATCAGCCATAGTTTACTTTAAAACCCCACATTTTAATAACAATATTGACCATTAAGACGTTAAGATTCATTATTTGATTTTTCAACAATTTGGTTTAAATTTCAAATTTTTCCGTTAAAGAAGCACAACTCTTGTTTTCTATTGACAGGTACATACTACTGGTACAACGCTGAAAATACCAAAATGTGCAAATTTTTCCCGATATTTCTCATGTTCACCAATCAGCAACTCTCTGCCTTTGGTTTCTTGTACAAGGGTAATATCCCCTCCCTCAGCTATGAACACCCTCAGCCTGCCCATTTGATGGAGATTAACAGAAGGGCGCCGCACTGTTTGCGAAACGTACACGATTTATCCGATTTGCCGGTCATTTTGGTGGATGACGTAACACTACTAAGATGCTAGCCTCAGAAGGGGAAACTTACGATGGATGGCACCTTTACAAATTTTTAAGGATGTTTGCCAATTTATGTGAAAAGGGGATTTATTTTACATGTTTTTATTTTTATTTTTTAAATGTTGTTTACCGGAAATTTGATCGAAAGAAGTTTCGTCAGTACCTTCCAATAGGAAAAAGATTCAGCAAGATGATATGTTTAAAAAAAAATTGTATTTCCTTTTCATTTAATAAAGTCAATGCGCTTGTGTGCGGGTAGCAATGTTTTGTTTTGATTTGGGAATTTCTTTTATTTCACTTGCAATCCTAAATTCTTTATTAAAGAAATGGATCCCAATTTATCAAAGTAAGGTGTTGTTCTACATAAGTAAATATGCAGAGACCAATGGTAAAATTTAGAATTGTCTGGTGAAAAGTTGATTAAATGCAACAACATGTTTTCTGTTCAACACAGTGCAGTCGTGTGTACAGTGTAATAATCCGCATTCTAACTTAACCAACACAGATTAGTGCATTTACCTATGTGCTTAGTTAAATATATTCCACTTCAACTCCTCCATCAAAATATTCAATTAGTTTTTACCCCTTGGTTCTTAAACTGGTGTCGGCTGTCCTCTGGGGGAATGTTTTGGGCTTACTAAGTAGAAATTGTATAGTTATTTTTGAATTTCGTCACTGGTTGCTTCGTCAAATGTAGGACTCCAATTAGTTCCTGTGAGAATATGTTTAGTCACTTGAGATAAGTGTAGTATCTATTGATTTCTTGAAATCTTTCGCACATCTCCACATTTCTTATGTTTAGCAGAACATGATCTCCATCTTACTGATGTCTAACAGCCTATAGTCTTCACTACTATTATTAGTCTTATGTCTAGCATACCCTTAAGTCTCGACTACTCTTTACCTCTGATTCCTAACAGCCTACATTCTTCATTATTTCTTTGCCCTAAGATTATTTTCTCTTCTTAATGATGCTGGTTATACTTTTTATGTTTTATAATTTTAATTAATTTGCCTCTTTAAAAGAGTTTTAAATTGTTAATTTAAACATTAAAATTGGCAAATATTTTTTGCAATTTTAGATTTACAATAAAAATGTCAACCAGTATTTGTTTTTTTTTTTTTTTTTTTTTTTTTTTTTTTTTTTTTTTTTAAAAAAAAAAAAAATTGTCCATTATAATGCCTCATTAAATATTAAAGAAATCAGAAGTTTCATATTTGAAATTTGGTTTAACTTTTAAAAAGTCTTGTGCGGACGAGCGACCAGAGCGTTTTTTTTTTTTTTTTTTGTGTTCTGAAGTTTTGATGTCCACTTCTCTATATCACAAATAGCACAAGAGATAATTGAAAACAGAGTATCCCTGCGAAATAAACAGAGATGTAGACTTTTTGAAACGTTAAGCCGAACGAGTGCACAAACCACGGCTTCATGACACAGAATGTTTTCAAAGAAAATTAAGGCTGATCTAGAAGTGTCTTGTGAGGTTTCAAGGAAAAAATGTTTCTCTAAGAAAACACACATTATCGGAGAACATTTCATGTCCTAAATGAGCGAACAAAGTACGGGAAAATCTGGAAATAAAGAACGCAACAAACCAACAAACGTGACGGCAGGACACCTTAATCAGCGAAAAAAAGCAGCAGTCAAAACAGATTTAATTATGAATGGCATTCAGCAGAAATGGAGTATCCTAGATTACAACAAAAAGAGGTTTGTGACAAAAAAAAAGAAGGAGAGAGGTTAATTACAGACAAAAAAAGGACTGAAAAGAGGAAAAGAAAAAGTGGTCTGCGATTGGTCGAAAGGACGGGGGACGGAGAAATGTTTTAATATGTGAATGAGAACATGAAATTCATACCAAGTGGTGTCAAAGTACCATATGTCAGGATCAGCTTGTTTTTTTTTTTTAAAGGATGTCAGAAATATTAACACGTTACGTCAATTACTTTAACTTAAATGTCGGGTGAAAGAGTTGAAAAGAGTTGGTCGGCCGTGTAAAATCGTTATCTTTTATTAAGTTTTTTGTTGATATGTAATTTTGAAATAAAATGTTGGGCAACTTCTGAACCTGTCTGAACTTTAGGTTCATGGCTACGACATTTCAAAATCACAACTGTGTCCGATACACGAAAACCTTAATAATATTTCTTTTCATACAAATAAATGGCATGAGTAAGGAAGATACAATCAAACAATTTCAAGGACTTTATTGTATCTGGATATCACATATTCTGCCTGTTCTTTGTAAAAGCTTATTGATCGATTGTGTAGTATAATTGGGAATTAACGTGTGCCCCTTAACTGCAAGTACATTGGATAATGTTAAGAGGGAGTCTTAATCTTTAGATGAATTCGTTAAAAAAAAAATAATTAAAAAATTGAATACTTTGTGTAAATGAATTTCTTTTATATAGGGTAATCTATTGGATCAGTGGCATAGCTAGAGGGGAGCTGGGGGTATCAAAACATACTAGGTTACTCCATCCCAGGGGCGACACCCAACTGAAAAATTGCACATTATTTACAGAGCGTACACTGCTCGGTGTAACAGAATTTCATAAAAGGATAACCGATCACATGTACATTTTCCACACATGTATTCTAACCAATCGAAATGAGTGCTTTTTTAAAAGTTCAAGGTTGGTGCGTCAGAAATGAGGTGGCACTAGAATTAGGTCAGAAAACACCGCTTTGAGCATGATTCAACTCCGATTGAAGTGTTGTAAGTGGCAGGAAGATAAAAATCTAAATTCTTAGAAAAAAACAACAACTTTCCATTGATGTGGTCGGACCCCTTAAGGACATGATTCGAATCCGTAAAAAAATCGTTTTAAACAATTTATAGGGTTAACAAAATAATATTGTACAATTTTTTTTATCTTTTAATAAATAATTGAATAAAAAAGAAAACAAAAGAGGTTAAAACCAAAAATATCGCAACCCAGATATACTAACATATTTTTTACGCCGATTTGTCACTAGTACCACCCCTTAACTTTTGTGCACGATTGTCACACAGCACAAGTTCTTTCACATGATGTCTTTGATTTCACGTTTATCTGTTACATTTACCTCTGGGCTGATCTACTTGAGGAAGTTAATTTTGCACAGCAGTACCTGCAGACTTAAGGATTTACTCTTGACAAAGTGGTGAAAAACCTAGCGGCCTTAAGATTGTTCTTGCACGAAGAGCGCTGTCATTGTTATTTTATTTTTTTTAATTCAATAAACCAAACGCTAGCAATGATGTAAACGACATCCATACATTCAATGAACCAAGTTACACCTTGCATCGTGAATTGACACATTGCCTCGTAACAAAAAATCTGGTTTTGGGCGGATCTGAATCTATGCACGCAAGAGA